GAGGTTCCTTGAACAAGCTGGCCGAAAATTCCCCTGGAGCTCCTCGCCGTCGGCGCCGCCGACAAACGGGTGGCCCTCTGCCTTGGAGACGCGCCCCGCCGCCTCGAAGACAGCCGACTCCCCTGCAACGGGGGCGGGCGCCCCGGGGGAACGCGCCTTCCCGCAGCTCCGTGAGCCTGGGCGAAAGGCTGAAGGGCAGCGCCTTCGCGGAACGCTCGCGGCTCGCCGCCTGCGCCTCGAGGCGAGCACTCATCGCGCCTGCCGGGGTGCTCTCCGGCGCCGGAGCTCGACGCGCCGCGGTTGCGCGCTTCCGCCGTGCCCCGCGCGCAAAGGCAACCTGCGCCGGCTGGGCGGTCCACGCCATGAAGACGGTTGTCTCCGCATCGGCAGTGTAGGGATGTTCGCCGTGCTCGACGGCCGCCCCGATCATCTCGCGCACGCGCGAATCGCCGACGTCGAGCTGCGAGAGCGCCCCGAGCTTCTCCACCAGGAGCCCGCCCACGGACAGGTGCCAGAAGAGATCGCGGCGAGCCGTAGGCGATTCGTCCACAGCGCGCAGAAACTCGCGCAAGATGACCCGGGCACCAGCCCCAGCGCCGCACAGGGCCCCCTTCGGGAGGTCGCGCGCGAAAGCCTCGACCTCGGCGGCACTGAAAGACATGGCGAGCACCAGGCGGCCACCGCTGCAGAGCGATGCCGGATGAACAGCTGACGCTGCCAGGATACGAGAGCCCAGACGCCCGCGGATGCTGCAAGCTCGGATGCGCGCCTCGTTCGGAGGACGCCGCAAGGAACGAGTCCGACCTGCGGGCGCAACGCAGGAACCGATGCCACAAGCGCCCGCGGGGCCGACCAGCCGAGCAGCCCCGCGGAGCGCCCGTGCCAATCCACGGACAACCGCGCGAGCCCGCCCGGGCTGCCTGGGCCGCCCCGCGGAGAACACCGCCCGCCCTGCAGGTGACTGGCGCCGCCGACCTGCGGCAACGCGCTGGAAATGCCCGACCTGCGAGGCCTCGAGCAGAGGGCAAGACGCGCGGGCCCGTCCCGCGGGTGCTGCCCGACCTGGAAGTGCATGTCCTGGCCTGCGAATGCGACAACTGCGCCGCCTGCCCTGCGGCCGACCTGCGGGAATGACAACGGCGCTGCCCGACCCGCGGGTGCACTCCCCGACCCGCGGGAACGAACGCGGCCCGCCCGACCTGCGGGCGCGCGCCCCGGCCTGCGTAAAAGACAACGACGCTGCCCGACCAACCTGCGGGCGCGCCCCCGACCTGCGGGAACGAACGCGGCGCTGCCCGACCAGCGGGCGCATGTCCCGACCTGCGGGGGCGGCAACGGAAGCACGCCCGCCTCGCGGGAATGAAGACCCGAAGGACCGACGAGGAGCGGCAGCAGCACCAGGGGCCCACGGAGCGGCGACGAGGAGCGGCAGCGGCGACCAGGAGCACCGGCAGCCCACAGAGCGCCCAGCGCCGCGCAGAAGCCTGCCCGCCCTGAGGGCCAGAGAGCGCGGATACACACGACGAGCGCGCGCCTCCGACGAGCCGCCCCCTCGGGGGGAACTCCGCCACGCGACCGCGGGCAGCGCCTGCCCCCGCCTGCCAGCGCGATTCTTCTCGCGCACTCGCGCCGACAGCACCGGCCGCCCACCGGCCACCGAAGGAGTAGGGAGACGAGGAAACTGCGCGGCATCCCCGCGCCAACCTCTGCCAGCCGCTCGCGGCCATCGGCTGCGAGCGCAGCGCGGACCCGCGATCCGCCGCGCCGCGGGGGGGCACTGCTGGGCAGTCAGCACATTGCCACCAAGGCCGCAAAGGCCGAAAGGCGAGGAGACCATGCGACGTCCTCCTAGAGATTCTCCTGCCCCCCAATCCGCTGCGCGATTTAAGGGCGATGGAAATGCCCCCCTCTGGCCGCCCGCACCCCCGCCCCCATCGCGTCGCGGCCAAAGCCTCGCGCCCTTCTTCGAGCGAGAGTCCGCCACTCTGCTGCTTTCCGTCATCCACCTCTCCTTCTACGTCGCGCACTCAGTCTTCGAGCGACGGGCCTTCGCCTCGGCGACGCGCGAGAGCTCGCGCCCGCCCTGCTCGGCCCGCCGCGCCCTCCGCGCGAGCCCCCGGGCCGCTCCTTCCGCCGGCGCCTGGCTTTTGGGCGCCGCTCTCCCGATCGAACCCGCGCAGTCGTTGGCGACCTCCAGCAGCGCCCGCGCGTGACAGGCAGAGAAACAGAAGGCTATGTCCTCGCCGTCTCGCGCCAGCTGCTTCGGCCCCGCGCGATCGGCGCGGCGCCGCGCGCCGCTCCGAGCTCCTCGCCGCTCTCGCCGAACGTCGCCATCGACCAGCCTGCCTCCGCGTCTCCTCCTCCGGGTCCGCGGCGGACCCGCCCACGAACGCCCTGCCATGGAAGTGGCCGCCGTGGCCTCCTGCGGGCACCATGGCCCCGACCACCTCGCCCGTCTCGCGCGGCCCCATCCAGGCCTGCGTCAGCTCGGGGAAGAGCCCACTGATGAACCTCTCGCCCGCCTCCTCCTCCTTCTCGGCCCCGCGCCCTAGCCGCGGCCTTCAGGGCCATCCTGGGGCAGAGACCCCTCCCCCTCCCCCTCACCTGCTCCACGCCGCGCTCGAAGCGCATGCGCCGCAGCGCGCCTCTCCTCGCCCCGCCCCCCCGCGCGTGTCCGAGGCTGCCAGCCCCGAGCGACCTTGCCTGCGTCGGCGCGGAAACTCCTGCGACGCACCCGAGAGCCCTCTTGCGCCTTAAGCTCCATGTCTCCGCCCCTTCGCCGCCGGCAGCCCCTCAATGCGCATCCGGCACAGCGGCCCCCCCCAGGCCGACCTCCCACCCAGACCCAGCATGGCCATGTCACCTCCTGCCCGTCGCGCCGCCCTGGCCCTGCGCGCCCTGACCGGCGCTGGCCCCGGCCACTTCAGGCCCAGCTCCTCGCCCATCGGCATCTTGAGCGCGAAGGCAGTGCTCATCTGGATGCTGGCTCTCGCCGCGGCGAGTCGCATGGGGGCCCGCTGGGCTCGTCGCTGCAGCCCGTGGCCGTTCGCGTCTGAACAGCCTGGCGTTGTCGCCCCAGCAGCTGCCCGTCGCCGCCAGCGGCAGCGCTGCGGCGTGCGCCACCGCGCACATCACCCAGGCCCTGGCCGCCTCGGCAGCCGCCGGCACTCCTGCGCCCCTCTTGCCTCCTTCTGCCGTCGCCCTCAGCCTCAGGTCGGCAACCGCTCCTTCCGGCAACGTGCCTTCTGCCGTCACCGCCTGGATTATCAGCTGGTGCACCCTGCGGCCTGCTACGCCCGTGACCCCTGCACCAAACAAGGCTGTCGCCGTCGGGCTGCTTCTCTGACGGCGCCCTGCCTCGGTCGCTCCTGCGGCCCCCAGCACCTGCGCCCTCGCCGCTGCATTCGCTGCCTTCGCCATCCTCTTGTCCTGCTCTCCTGCGCGCTGCGCCTGCCGCCACTCGAGTCGCACCCCAGGCCCCGACCCGACGCCACCCTCTCCGGCCCCAATCTGCCTGGGTCAGCTCCACCTGCATCAGCTTCGCCACGTCCGCATCGCTGGTCAAGTACTTTGTCTTGCCCCACGACACTACCAGGCCCAGCGCCACAAAACTGTCGATTGTGTGGATTGGCGAGTTGCTGCGTCACCTGCTCCGCCTTGCCAATCGCCTGCAGCATCAAGTCGTCCACCACGCTCTGGTACCTGACCAGGGAGCGCGTCTTCGCGAGCCCCGTCGCACGCGAGCACCTTGCCGCCAGCGCCCTATTCACCTCCAGCTCCTCACTTATGACGTTGGCCCTCCAAGGCATCCTGTAGCTGATGCACGGCCGCCGCACCAGCTCCATGGGGAAGTCCACCTTCTCGCCCTCCTGCCTGGGCACCTCGTGGAAAACGTGCTCGTAGAACTTGGCTAGATTCGTGAGCCCCGCCCAGTACGCGACCAACCGTTTTCGCATGACACGCCACAAGGTTGGAGATCACCCCCGCCATGCCGCATGGCGTGTCCGCGGTCCCCCAAAGTGTTCCTGGTGCAACAGTTCCTGCTCCCACTTGGCGACCAGCGGCTGCCTGAGCCTGCTCCACGAACTAATGGTGAAGGCCAGCAGGGGGATCGACCGTACTTCCCCGTCTGTTTTGCCAACAGTTCTGTCACCATACTCCACATCGCCATGGGCTTCGCGCTTCGCGTTCGCCAACCTGTCGCTGTAGCTTTCGGGGAGCTGATCCAGCAACCTGGGGAGCAGCTTGTCCCAGCCCAGCCCCGCGATTCCTTGAGCACCCAGCTGATCTGCTCCGCGTTGATCGGCTCCAGCGCCTGGCCTCTCATCCAATCCATGGGGTGCGCCTCTCTTCTCCAACTCTCCTTGGCCCAGGGCGGCATCCTGGTCGCGAATACCATGTCCATGGCTGCAATGCCTGCCTGCAAGGCTCCATCCACCTCTGGGTCGTCGTCTTTCTCGCACACCCCTCCTGTCCCGGGAACTTGAACGCCGCAGAGCCTCCAGCCTCTGGCATGGTTTTGATCACCAGCTCCTCCAAATTACGTTCGCTTCCTTGGATGTAGGTTTCGTTCCTCTTGGCCACTTCCTGCTGCGCCGCCTCGATCACCTATTGCTGCTTCCCCTGCGAATCCTTCAGCATGGCCACGAGCACCTGCCCCAAGCCTCCAGCCAGCAGAGGCCATCCTTCGGCTAGCTGCATGCCTCCTCCTCCTCCTCCTCCTCCTCCTCCTCCTCCTCCTCCTCCTCCTCCTCCTCCTCATCCTCCTCCTCCTCCTCCTTTCGCAGGTCTTACAACGACGACGACAACCACGACGACGACAACCAACACGACATCGCCGACGACGACGGCGACAGCGATGGCGACGGCGAAGGCGACGGCGACGACAGCGGCAGCGGCGACGGCGACGGCGACGGCGACCGCAGCGACGACGACGAGGACGACGACGACGACGACGACCGCGAAGGCGCGACGCCCGATCGCCCCGCTGGAGGCGGCGCCTCTGGCGTGGGCTCCCGCGACTCCGACGGGCCGCCCACGATGTTCTCACCTGGGCGGAGGGGAGCAGGAGGACGGAGAGGGAAGGGGGGAAAGGGGGGGAGAGAGAGAGAGAGAGAGAGAGAGAAGGGGAGGAGGAGGGGGATGAGGACGGGAGAAGGAGGAGGAGGAGCAGGAGGAGGAGGAGGAGGGAGGAGGAGGAGGAGGAGGAGGAGGAGGAGGGGGAGGGAGGGGAGGAGGAGGGGAGGGGGAGGGGAGGAGGAGGAGGGGGAGGAGGAGAGGAGAGGAGGAGAGAGAGGAGGAGGAGGAGGGAGGAGGGGGAGGAGGAGGAGGAGGAGGAGGAGGAGGAGGAGGAGGAGGAGGAGGAGGAGGAGGTGGAGGAGGAGGAGGAGGAGGAGGAGGAGGGAGGGAGGGGAGGGGAGGTGGGAGGAGGAGGAGGAGGAGGAGGAGGAGGAGGAGGAGGAGGAGAGGGAGGAGGAGGAGAGGAGGAGGAGGAGGGGGAGGAGGAGGAGGAGGAGGAGGAGGAGGAGGAGGAGGAGGAGGAGGAGGAGGAGGAGGAGGAGGAGAGGAGGAGGAGGAGGACCAAGCGTTGCATGAGGTCTTCCTGTGCCTGTGGGCTCCGACTGGGTGGCGCTGGGGACATTTTCTGAAGAAGCCGTGATCCGATTGCCACTGACTCCACCAGTCGAGCCAAAAAGCCAAGTATCCAGACCCTTCACCAGGGGCGAAAAATACACATTGCAAGGATGAGCAGGGACCGAACCTGGGAGAGACGTACCTCATACGCCGTGCTGATGGTCAACTCCATCGTGCCGATCTGAAGTATCTTCAAATGCAGTTTCTGTAGAAAGGAAGAGGAGGAGGAGGAGGAGGAGGAGGAGGAGGAGGAGGAGGACGAGGAGGAGGAGGAGGAGGAGGAGGAGGAGGAGGAGGAGGAAGGGCGCACAGGAAGGAACCCCTGGATGAGCGAGCGAGCGAGCGTGCGACCAACGGGTTCGGAGGCCCGGCCCTGAGCAGGGCGGCGCAGAAGGGCCTCGGCCCTCGGTTCAGGCCCTCGGCCCTCAACTCGGATGTCATGTTGCATCCTCGGGGAACCTCGTCTGTCCCGTCGCGGCCCTCTCCGTGTCGAATCCGTGAAAAGCCGTGTCGGCCCTGTCGGAGCCGCGCCGCATCGGTGCCGAATCCGCGTCGAATCCACGCCAGAATTTAGGGTCTGGGAGCTGGTGGCACGCCAACTGAGGCTCGGTCAAAGGAATCACCGCCGCCCTCATCAGATACGAAATCATCCAGGGTATGAAGCCTGCCGTGCGCAGTCCTTACGAACCCCCCCCGCCATACGGGCATGGAGCTGCCAGCGGTGCAACTCCACAAGACAAACTCAATCCAGTCGGCAGATACAGTCGGGGGCTTGACCCAAGGAACCCTAAATAAGGAACGGGGCCCCTTCCTCCCATAAGTTGAGCTTCGATTTCCCTTGGAAAACCTCAGGAAAATAGAAGGCAAACTGCAGAACAATCAAGGAACACCGAGCCCCTCCCCAACGAAAAGGGTTCCTTCTTCAGGGCCCCGGCTGTACGAGAGGAGGTCGTGCTGCAGGAGGTCTTGGGGCACAGTGTTTGTCGATCCCTGAGGGCCCGGGCGTGGCCCGGGGCTTCCTCCTCCTCCTCCCCCTCCTCCTCCTCCTCCTCCTCCTCCTCCTCCTCCCCCTCCTCCCTCCTCCCTCCTCCTCCTCCTCCTCCTCCTCCTCCTCCTCCTCCTCCTCCTCCTCCTCCTCCTCCTCCTCATCCTCCTCCTCCTCCTCCTCCTCCTCCTCCTCCTCCTCCTCCTCCTCCTCCTCCTCCTCCTCCTCCTCCTCCTCCTCCTCCTCCTCCTCCTCCTCCCCTTCCTCCTCCCCCTCCTCCTCTGTGGAGGCAACGCGGTCTCGCGGGGCCCCTGCCGGCCGGCCGGACGCACAGCCGCTGCGCGGGGGGCCACGGCTGCACCGCGAGCCGTGCAGGAGGCACACGCCCGGCGAGCCTGCCTCCCGGAAGGTGTGCGACGGCGGGCCTGCACGCTCGGAGCGCCAACTTCCCCTCCACATCGGGGGAGGAGGAGGAGGAGGAGGAGGAGGAGGGAGAGGAGGAGGAGGAGGAGGAGGAGGAGGAGGAGGAGGAGGTGGAGAGGAGGAGGAGGAGGAGAGGAGGAGGAGGAGGAGGAGAGGAGGAGGAGGAGGAGGAGGGGGAGGAGGAGGAGGAGGAGAGGAGGAGGAGGAGGAGGAGGAGGAGGAGGAGGAGGAGGAGGAGGAGGAGGAGGAGGAGAAGCGGGGGGACGAAGGGGAGAAGGGGGAGGATGCAGAACCAATCAACATCGGATCGTGACACCGTTGTCGGATCAGAATGTGCGTCGGATCGGGCCGCATCGGTGCGGATCCAGAATCGAGTCGCATTGGATGCGCCAGGATGCGCAGCAGCGCCGCGCGGAAGCCGGGGCGCATCGCATCGTCGAAATCAGAATCGAATCGGAGCGGGCCCGCCGAAATCGATAACACATCGGCTCGGTCGGCTCGAAACGAACCCTGGGATGCGGAACAGGAGGGAAGAGGACGTTTGGGGCGTTGGCCAAGCACAGCGTGCAGAGAAGAAGAGGAAGAAGAGGAGGGAAACGAGGAAGGTAACCAAGTGCCGACCACGTGGTGCCTTCAGCCAAGGCCAGAAGGCACCTCCCATCACCTCACCCTGTCCAGACGGAGGGCGGGAAGAAGAAGAAGAAGAAGAAGAAGCCGCAAGCGGCTGGGAGGGCAACGGGCCTTGGCGGCCTGAAGAGACAGAGCTCGTGACCGCTAGCAAATCCTGTTCCCGAGACTCTGGAAACAGCCTGCCCAGGAAGGAACGGCCCTGCGTAGCTGGGAAACTTGTCCTTGGCAACACGGGCACGGTTCTATGTGCCCTGCTTCGCCATGGGAAGACTGGGTTTGGCCAGCGGCTACCGGGGCCCACCGAGGCAGGCTCACCGCAGAGGAAACAAACAGACAACAGTATGCCGAAGGTTGAGAGCTGCACCACCGACGGACGGGACCGACAAGACCACGTCATGAGGCCAGCTGGCCCCGTGGTCGGCACCAAGGTCGGGTGTTGCTAGAAGTGCCCCTGGTCTTCGCTCCATTCTGGAGCCCCTGGGGCCCTCTGGGCCTCGTGAGGGGTGCAAAATGAAGCCGTCTGGGACATTCCGAGAATCCTGGGGGTACCTTGGGCCAGGGGTGCTTCTGGCAACGCCCGACAAGGAGCGGCCCTCGCCTGCATCAACCGCTCGCGCGCGGAGATCAGACCGCAGCGCACACCATGCCACCGCCCATCCTCACGGCGGATGCCGTGGGCGCTGGCCGCCTCAGATCTCTCTCTCGAGGGTTGGCGCGCGGCGAGCTCGCTCCACTGGCTCCCTGAGCTGTGGCCCGATGGGGATCGGTGGAGGACGCAGAGGTGCGTGCGGAACGGGCCCTCTTGCTGGCCAGGGGGGCGCTCGGCGTCCCACGCATTTCTTTCTGGGGGGCGGGCTCGCTCGCTGGCTCCCTGAGCTTTGGCCAGATGGGGATCGGTGGAGGACGCAGAGATGCGCGCGGAACGGGCCCTCTTCCTGGCCAGGGGGGCGCACGGCTTCCCACGCATCTTCTTCTGGGGGGCGGGCTGGGCCGAAGGAGCCACACTCCACTGCGCTGCTCCTCCTGCTGCCAGGTGTGCCTGAGCAGTGCCTTGGGCCGAACATTGCAAGCCCGAGTCGCGGGCGGGCTCGGAGATGGAGCCCGCTCAGCGCCGATGCAATCGAAACCTCGACCACCAAGGGCTGAGCGAATCCTACGCCACAAGTGCCGCCACAAGTCAGCGTTACGACCTCCACCCGACCGCACCCTGCCTCAGCGCCCAGCAGTGTGCAAAGCGCCGTGGTCAGCCCCAAAGTGGAAGGGGTCCTGCAAACTTTCGAGGCATGCAAAACGCGAACAGCTCTGACCGAGCAGCAGACTGCATGCGGCCCCTTCGGGCCCCTGAGACGCCACCGCTGACCTCCCAGGAAGCCGACGCTCACTGGATCACAACTACCGCGACCGAGCCGCAACGACGTCTGCGAGGGTCCGGAGAGAACTGTCCTCCAGCCCCGTCTCCGAAAATGAAAACGCGCTCCTCCTGGAAATGGGAAGCGGGGTGATGGGCACTGAGGGGCTGATCCGCCGCCTGACTCACGCCTACTTATCCCGTTGCCAACTTCAACGAATACGGGGCGAGTCCGATTAGACGACGGCACTCCTCTGAGCCATGCCGACGGAGTCGCCTCAAGGCCTGCGAGAGCCTGGGGAAGCGAGTGATCGGAACACGCGGGATCTTCACGATCCCGGTCTTTGCAGCACGTCCCGATGCAGCGAGCCAGCATCTCGGGCTCCGAACAGCATCTCGGGCGCAGGCTCTCGCCGCAGCTTCCGGCCGGAGACCTGCACACTCGAGGCCTCTGCACGCCTGGCAGCACAGCGAGGGTGAGACCGCACGTGCTGGCGTAGTTACCGCGGGTGTCGTGTCGTGTCGTGTCGACTGCGGCGTTGGTTCCTGACACCGCGTGTACTGCTGGTTTTGTCCAGCTCGCGATGGGCTCCAAGCTGGTCGCCATCATGCACGCCCGTGCCTGGCCCGTGCCTGGCAGCAGCGGCCCCATGCTGGGCTCGAAGGTCGTGCAACGAAGCCTCGACCAGCTGCTCCGAGAACTCCAACCCTTTGAGGGGAATCCCTCGAAGGTCGAGGCAGGGATGCGCCAGTCTTCTTGGCGTCCGCAAGGTGGCGTACGCATCGGCTCTGTGGCCGAGGTGGGAAGCCAGCTGGCATCCCGACGGGGAGCGACAATGGCTCCCACTGGGCCCTGAGTCGCCACCCACGAGAGCCAGCCACGAGGACCTCCCACGATGATGGACCCGTTGGCACCGACGAGAGCCAGCCTCGGCGAGAGACTGCAAAATGCTGGCCTACGCTCGGTTGACTCTGGCGCGGCACCCTGGGTTCCGCCCCCGGAGCAGGAGGCCTTCGCGAAGGGGCCGGCGGCGAGGCTGCAGGGCTGCCTTCTTCGGGCCGCAGTCCGCCTCCAGGGGTCTCGCAGGAGTCTCGGGAGCTCCGCAGCACACGCTGAGGCCCGATGCTCCTGCTCCTTGATTGAGTATCGTTTGACCGATCCCCAGCCCCAGCGGCGTGGCCTGGGCCCCACTGGCCGATTCACCCCCCCAGATGGGGAGATGGGTCGTTCCCTTCAGGCTTCGAGGGGTGCATCCCCGACTGGGGCAGCAATCTTGTGGGGGCCTCGAAGGGGCTGGGCATGGGGATGGGTGTCACTGTTACTCTTGGGCCTACTCTTACGGCTTACCTCTACGACTGTCCCAGGTCTACCCCCAGGGTTTACCTTTCGGGCTACTCTGTGGGCTGCACCTGGCCATCCCTAGGGCGTTGGGCGCCCGAGTTATCCGGGGTAACTCGGGTCCGGGGTAAGTCGGGTTTGGATTTCCGAAAAAGGAACCCGAGTTAACCCTGACCCGAGTTACCCCTGATGATTCGGGGCTCTGGACGCCCGAGTTATCCGGGGTAACTCGGGTCCGGGGTAACTCGGGTTTGGATTCCCGAAACACGAACCCGAGTTAGCCCTGACCCGAGTTACCCCTGATGATTCGGGGCTCTGAGGGCGTGCCCTTTGGGCTACCGCAGGCCTACCCACCAGGGCCTGCCCGTAGGGCTACCCGAGCGCTGCGCCCGAGGCGCGCGGGCTGCTCGCCCGAGGCCCTGTCGCCCTGCCTCCCCGGGGCGCCCTGCGCGCCCTCCCCGGGCCCGGCGTGCCCGCGCGGCTTCCGGGCGACCCTGCGGCACCTCGGCGGACCGCACCGGGCACGCGGCAGCGCCCCTCTCTCTCTCTCTCTCTCTCTCTCTCTCGCTCTCTTTGACTACCTACCAGACCACCCCAACCCAACCCGAAGACCCGAATTCGACCCGAATTTCGGGTTGGGGGGGGTACGGGTTCCATGTTTTTTTCAGTGTTTCCCGACCCCCCCCACTGGAAATCGAGGATAAATTTGGGCCTTCGGGTTGGGTTGGGGTGGTTTGGTGGGTGGTGACTCTTTCGGCGGTGGACACACCTCCCTCCAGCAAAAACCTCCCCTTGGTGAGAGCGGCCTGTAAGACCGAAGCCGACGGACCTGGACAAGCCATCACGACGGCCGCCACGCGCCCTCTCGCGGACCGAGGACGGCCGATTCCTGACTCGACGTGTCAGGGTATAGGAGGCCCAGCAACCTCCGGCTCTTGTAGCGCGGGGTGCGTCCGGGAGCATGCGGGAGCGGGAGCACGCGAACGCACCGAGCGTATATATATATACACACACACACACGGCATCGGCGGGAACAAAGCACTGCGCAGCCGGGCCGGCTTCCGCTCCTGGGCACCGGCGGTGCCCGCTCCATGGAGCAGCCGCAGCACCGGAGCGCCGCGCCGGGACGCGTCCCGCTCCCAGAGGGTTGGCCAGGAGTCGCCCTGGAGCTGGGCTTGAAGCTGCAGCCTGGGTCTTCAGAGGCATGAGCCACTCGGCGGCGGCCCACCACCGAGTCCTGGTGGCAGCGCAGTGTCTGCAGCCTCTCACCCTCAGCAGTGCCATGGGGGGCTTCTGCTCGCAGCACGGCGCCATCGACAGAAGTCCAGGGCGAGGAGTCCGCTGCCTGCTCCTCCTCCTCCTCCTCCTCCTCCTCCTCCTCCTCCTCCGCCCTCTGAAGCAAAGGGTGCAGGAAGAAACTGCCGCGAGCCAGCCACGAGAGAGCGGGTGAGCTCGATGGCCTCATCAGCGCCCGTGTGGGGAGTGGGAGGTAGAGGCGGAGGAGGGAGGGAACAGAAGAGGACGAGAAGATAAAGAAGAATGCGAAGGAGGGAGAAAGAAGAGGGGTAGGGAAGGAATGATGATCATGAGGAGGGAGAAGTCCGACGCTGGTCAAATCTCATACAGGGACTGTGGTAGGAAGCATCCGGCAGCCAGCGACACCGATGCATGCATAAGCGCAAAGCATGGCGGAGGCGTCGAGAATTGGCGAAACAGATCACATGACAGGAGGCATCACTGACTATCCCACCCCCCTCTCTCAAGCATGTCCCGATTTCGAACTCGCTGTGGAACCACCAATCGTTGTGGACTTCTGGTCGACCACCTGCGCGGATGGCGGGAAAGCGACACGGGGAGCTATCGGAGCACGTCGACATACGCGGAGCGCGAATTAACGACGGAACAATGTCGAAAACAGAGCCCTGCTTCGCACGCCGAGGCAATAAGCGCGCACGCTGGCTCTCCGGCCCGCCCTGCCCTGGAGACCCAGCGTGGGCCCCATCCCCGACTATCTCTCAAGAGGAGGGCGGTTTCCCCCGCGCACCATCCCGCCCAAGACCCTGCGGAGTGCACCGGGGAGTGAAGCGAGGGGACTGGCCCTTCAAGAAGGCCGGGCGGCTCCTCGCAGGGCTCGGAAGCCCCGAGACGACGCGGGACGAGCGACGGAGCCGCGCGTGCCCCTCGAGGCATGGCGCGGAGGCCGCAGCCTCCAGCCAAAGGGGGCTTGACTGGCCCACTGGGCCTGCTGGCAGCCGGTCTTCGGAGCAGGGCGACGTGAGGCAACGGCAGCTCGAAGGACCTGTTCCCGACCCCCTCTAAGGGGCCCAGGCGCACCAGCGAGCTGCGCCCCAGCCGCGGCGACGAGGGCGAGCCCCCTCCGAAGGCCAGCAACCGGCGCCTCCGCTCGCCCTCCGCGGACGGGAGGCGCGAGCATGGCGCAAGAGTGGAGGGGGAAGAGGCGGAGGCTTCCGAAGAGGCCCCTCGGACGGCAGGGTGGCCTCCGAAAGCCCTCGCGGCTTTCCTGGGAAGGCCGCCTCCTCGCCCCGACCCCTGCTAGAGGAAAGAGGGCTATGCACATACACCGATTCTGGCCGGGCCCATCCTGAGCCCAGGCTCGGTGCATACGCCCATCTTACCTTGGCCAGGAAGGTGTATGCACCGATCCTGGGTCGAGGATGGACGTTGTCAGGATCGGTGCATGTGCATGGCTCTCTTCGCCCGACCTGCTGCACCGTGGCGTTTCCCGCGCGCCCTCCCGCCCGAGCAGGCAAGCAAGCGAAGAAGCATGCCATCGCGAGCCGGGCGGGGGTTGCCACCCGGGCGCCGGCCAGGAGAAGGTGCCACGAGGAGGGCAGGCACGAGTGTGGCCAAGCGAAAAAGCTGAGCGAACTCTGCTGAAACCAATCGAGAGCCAATCCCTGGGAGGGAGGGAGGGGGAGAGAGGGGAGGAACACCCCCTCGTTTTCTCTTCTCCTGTTGCTTTTCCTCCGCCTCCTCCTCCTCCTCCTCTTCCTCCTCCTCCTCCTCCTCTTCCTCCTCCTCCTCCGCCTCCTCCTCCTATTCCTCGTCCTCCTCCTCCTCCTCCTCCTCCTCCTCCTCCGCCTCCGCCTCCGCCTCCGCCTCCTCCTCCTATTCCTCGTCCTCCTCCTCCACCACCAGGGCAAGACCATGCAGTCCACGTATCCGAAGTTAGTCTGGGCGGGGTCGGAACTTGCTGGAAACGAAATGGGGCACCGTTTGAACAGGCCCGCGCGACCTGCGTGTCCAGAGCAGCGTTGGGCTGGATCAGAAACCACTCCCCAAACAGAGCTTGCGCTGACTGGGGCTCTTGTGGATTCTGGGACCCTGGAAGACATGTCTATGTTGCGGTAGACGCGAATAGACTCGCGGCGCTCACGCTCGAGCGCGGTGCGCGAGTGTTTAAAACAACCAATTATAGGATTCAATAGACGCGCGCCGCTCTAGCCTGCACGGCGTGCTCGAATGCCTAAGCGTGTGTATGGTTCAAACAGTGTTTCTATTCCGCCGTGTCTAAAAATGCTTAAACGTGTTTCACCATGTCTAACTTCGCACGTCTATATCGTCTTTACGCGTGACTGACACACACACACACATACAACGCGCCATGCCTTGGACACGCGCATTAATGTGCCAGAAGCTCGGCGTCAACATCTGGCTCCGAGTGTGCCTGGTACCGCAGATTGCTGCGTTGTTGACCGACCAGTGGAAGATGATAGAGGGGAGGAGGAGGACGCGGAGGAGGAGGAGGAGGAGGAGCCTCAAGAGGAGGAGGAGCAACAGCAACAACAGGTGCAGCAGCAGCAACAGGGGCAGGAGCAGGAGGAGGGGGGGACGCGGAGGATGAACGCGAGGACGAGGAGGCGGGACACGGGGACGAGGACACGGGGAGGGGGGGCATTGGGGAGGGGGGGAGAGGCCTCGCCTCACTGACCCGATGATCCTTATCCGCCACAGTGCCTCGAGGCACGAAGTGGTGTGTCCTCAAGTTCCCATCGAGCCGTAAGCATCCTTAGCAGAGGTCACAGCCCCGAGTGTGCCCAGGCTGTCCCACGAAGCCCTCAAGACGGCCGAGAAGGGCCCCGACACTGCCCAAGTGCGCGTCGATGCGCCCAAGACGGCCGAGACGGCTTCGAGAGGACCCCTGAGAGTGCCTGGAGAAAGAAAGAACAACAACAACAACAACATCAACAACAACAACAACAACAACAACAACAACAACAACAACAACAACAACGACGACGACGACGACGACGACAACAACAACAACAACACCACCAACAACAACAACAACCACAACAACAACAACAAAAACGATGATCCTTCGGCGCTTGCAATAGTTTAGCGCTGCCGCCTGGCTTCCGAAGCTCAAAGACGGCCCAAGAGGCCCTGGCCAAACGAACTCCCAACACAGCCCTGGGACGCCTCATTGCATGCGGCTCCAGGGCGGCCCGCACAGGCCAACCGTGGGAGCGCGAACTGACAGTTCGAGCCATTGGTGCCGCAACATGGTTTCAGGATTTGCTCCGAAGCTTCCGACGCGCCCCCGACGAGAAGCCCCAAGAAGGCCCCAAGAGACCCCCTCGGTCCCTCAGACGCCCCAGGAAGCCATTAAGAAGCCTCCAGAAGGACCAATGAGCTCGACAAGAGGCCCCTGGTGGTTGCGACGACGATGACGACGGGAACGCGTTGGGTATACGCAGCGGGAGGATGGGAGAAGGGGGGATAGGAAAACATTGAAGAGGTGGAAACACGTCAGCAGGGATGCCGAGGGGAAGGGAGGAAGGAGGAGGGCCAGGACGAGGACGAGGACATCGAGGGCGAGAGGCTGGGACGGCGGGGGGGGAAGGGGAGGAGGGAGGCCCATTTATCTATCTCCAGATCCCACTCCTCGCGGCGCCTCTTGCCCCTCTCGCTTCGCGCCGCTCGTATCTGTTCCCCGCTCCATCGCAGTCTTCATCACGACGTGTGCTGGCCTCTTCGTATTCCTCCGACCTTTCGCCATGCTTCATGCTCCTCATCATAATTTTGCCCCGGCGTCGTCGCCCACCTCTTCTCCCCCCCGACCGTTGCCTCCAAACCCATGGCCTCTCCGTAGTCTCGTCCTCTCCAGCTCCTCCTGCCCATCCTCCTCCTGGCCTTTGCCATCCGTTTCCTTGCCCTCCTCGCCCTCCGCCTCCCTCCTCCTCCTCCTCCTCCTCCTCCTCCTCATCATCATCATCGTCATCATCAGCAGCAGCATCATCATCATCATCATCATCATCATCATCATCATCATCATCATCATCATCATCATCATCATCATCATCATCATCATCATCATCATCATCATCATCATCATCATGATCAGCATCACCATCATCATCGTCATCGTCATCATCATCATCATCATCATCATCATCATCATCATCATCATCATCATCATCATCATCATCATCATCATCATCATCATCATCATCATCATCATCATCATCATCATAATCATCATCATCATCATCATCATCATCATCATCATCATCATCATCATCATCATCATCATCATCATCATCATCATCATCATCATTTCATCATTTCATCATCATCATCATCATCGTCATCATCATCATCAGCATCATCACCATCACCCTCCATCATCACCCTCCATCGTCGAGGCCTGTTGCACGAACGTCTTAATGAGACAGCACTGGTGCAGGGTGGACAACATCGCACATCGATTGGAGCGTTCTGTTGCAGGCAGCAGGGTTGCGAAAGCCAAGGGGTCGACGCGAACACAAGCACTACCAAAGCTGACAGCACCCAAAGGTCCCAGGCCGTCCCCCACCCCAACACTGACCAGGCGCTGCGCCGCTTAACTTCGGAGGTGGGAAGGGATCCGGTGCATTCAGCACGGTATGGCAATCAACAATGCTCATAACTATCTCAGCTGTGATGATACATGCTTTCCTGCCTGGCATGATTGTCCCTTACGACAACGGTGCCTGTCCTCTCTCTCCCCCTCCCCCCCCCCATCCGAGCCGGATGGCCCCGCCTCGGTGGTGGCGACGGCCGCCTCGTCGGTGCTGGTCGCCGTGGCCTCCCGCGCATCCGACGCATCCGAGCTCCGCTCCGCCCTCGCGTCTGGAGGGAGCGTGTGCGAAGACGGCCCCGGGGTCATGCAGACCCCCCCCCCTTCCTCCAAACGGTTCTGCCGAGGCCCGCGCCGCGCAGCCCGGCCTCCCACGCGTCGGGGGCGGACGGGGGCCGTGGGCGGCAGGTCGGGTGCCTGGGCTTCGAGAGGGCCAGACGGTCTCCGACTGCCTTCAGCGGGCGTGCCCTGCGGTATGCGCTGTGCGTGCTGGTTCGCTGAGGCCCCAGGTCAGGTTCCTCCAGAGCTCCCCCTCCACGCCCGCGTGCGGTCCGCCTGGGACATCCGAGGTGATGGGTGGGCCCCCTGCCAGGCCTTCTCGTCAGGCTGCTGCGTGTGGCAGCCACGAAGGCGGGGCCCCCCTCTCACCTGCGCTGCCTTCGAGAGGGCGGGGGGAGGGGAGGGTGGGGCGAGCACGGGAGCGCCTAACGGGGTGGTGCCGAGGCTGGTCCCCCTCCTGGCTGCCCTCTGGCTGCTGCCCCTCTGCAGCCACTCACAGCCCACGGCGGCCGCCAGCCAGCCTTCGCCTCTCTCAGGAGGCAACTACTGGGAGGTCTTCGTGGGAAGGATCAGGGAGAACTGAGCCCCATTGGGGGGCTGCTGCGCGGGATTGGAACCGCGGAGCAAGCGGGACCAAGCCGGATTCAGCGAGATTCGGATGGGATGGAGCCGGATCCGGCCGGAGTTCGGGCCGCAGGGCGAGGTCTGAATCTGACCTCCCGGGAGTTGCACCCGAAGCTCCCCCTCCCCTTTGGACGCCCGAAATGGGTACGGAAAGAATGGGTGCAATGCCCAACAACAAATGTTGTCCCAAACCGACAGCGGCCGCTGTTGGGCAGGCGGCCTCCTGTCTCAAATGGACACGGGCCGCGGCGGCACGGACAGCGAGTCCTGTTCAAAATGACCAAGAACTGCTGTTGGGCATTGTACCCATTCTTTCCGTACCCGGATCGGCGCTGGGCGGTTCGCACCTCTTCTGGGAGCCGCGAGGTTTCGGCAGATCTGCGTGGACCTGCGTTGCGTTGCATTCGCAGGAGCCCACGAAAATGACGGGAATTGCGCGGTTCGCAACCCCGCAGAGAGCCGCGAGGTCTCGGAAGATCTGCGTGGATCTCCATTCCGCTGAATCTACTTGGAGCCTACGAAAGTTGCGACAGTCGCGCGCGGAGAACGCGCCAGGGGCGGCTCCGCCTCAGCGCTGTCGGTCGTCCCGATCCCCGAGCCAGGCGGCCCCGCCTCAGCGCTGGCGGCGCCCGCCCCGTCGGCGCCGGTCGTCGTGGCCTCGCGAGGGCGGGGTGCGGGGCGCGGGCGGGCGGCGGTGCCGCGGCAAGGTCGCGGCGGCCGCGGGGTGGGGCGCCCAGCTCGGCGCTCCAGAGGTCTCGGCCCAGACTTAGGTCGGGCGTGTCCCCCTACAGGGGGATTCCCGACGAAAAATGAAAAAAAAAAAAAAAAAAAAAAAAAAAAAAAAAAAAAAAAAAAAAAAAAAATGCACCAAACAGGTCCAAAAAGACTCCACATAGAATCCCCACACTATGTTTGGGCTATGTTTTTTGTTATCTTGGGGTATCTCTTATTTCTCTTCGAAGATCCCCCTGTAGGGGGACAGGCCCGACTTAAGCCCAGACGTGCTTGCGCCGGAGGGGGGGGGGGGGGGGGGCAAAAACACGACGGGAGGCCTGTGGCTGTTCTGGAGGCCCTCGCCAGGCCGCGGGGCCGTCCACAGAACGACTCGGGAGGAAAAACGGGGCCCCCTGCCATCGCTCGGAAGACCGCTCCCCGTGCACGTGTTGGCTCCGCGAGTGCTTCCTGCCCTCCGGGAGGGCCCAGGGTGCCCCTAGACGGTCTAGGTATTCTGGCGCTGACCTCGGCGAGAAACATGCACACGCCCGAGCGATGCCAAGGCCCTGGAGTTGCGGATGCCATGCAAATGGACACCCTAACAATTCGATCATTGAGTTAAATATAGGTTTGAAATGTGTGAAACATGTTCTAAACATGTTCGGATATGTATGTTACATGTTTAAGACATGCTGAAAGCATGTGTTAAAAACATTTGGAAAGGATTTGGCAACATGCTTCCTATCCATTGATCGTCGTCCACAGCCCTGGAGAGTGCGTCTGGACATTCGGGGACCCCGCGTGGAAAAAAAGGACAGCGGATGTCTGGGAAGAGGGGCCCCAAGAGAGGGTGCCGAGGCGGCCACCGGGCGAAGAGGAGGAGGAGGAGGAGGAGGATTATAGTGTTTTGTCCTGCTCGATGCCCCTCTTCTTCGAGACCAGGAGGGATGGCGGGATCCGTCAGCTTCGAGCCCGGAGGTCGGCTCGCAGCGGATCTGGCAATCCTGCTCCTCCTCCTCCCCCTCCTTTTCCTTCTCCTCCTCCTCCTCCTCCTCCTCCTCCTCCTCCTCCTCCTCCTCCTCCTCCCCCTCCTCCTCCTAGTCCTCCTCCTCCTCCTCCTCCTCCTCATCCCCCCCCTCCTCCTCCCCCTCCTCCTCCCCCCCAGATGTCTGGGAGCAGCGGAGCCACGAGAGAGGGGGTGCCGATGGCGGCCCCCGGGGCGGCAGGAGGGCCCCGCGGGCGGCCCCGCGGGCGGCCCCGAGCTGGGCGGGCACAGGGAAAGCAGCCCAGGAGCTGGCCTAAGAGTCAGGTCGGGCATGCCCCCCTATACAGGCCGATGTTCGATGGAATCGTAACATATGCTCAACCCATCGATTCAAAACTGGTTGACACATACCAGAGAGAAATCGTCCCCCGACTGTTTTTGACTATGTTTGAACATTCCTCGTGTAGAGGGACAGGCCCGCTTTAGCCCAAGGGGGCTCTGGGGCGGTCCCGCATCCCTCCTCGAAGTCGAGCGCAAGGTGTCCCACGACATGGCGACGCCGCCTGACCCCCAATGTCAATGATGACGCCGACACTCGCGGCTGCAATTTCTTGGTGGTTGGCCCTGCGGGCCTCGCTGCGCACGTCCATCAGTGATGCAGCACTGCACTTCTCGGAGTCGAGGGGGTCGGATCAAAACTTGCGTTTGATTTCGAGGAGGTTGCAGGAGGGCTTTCCAGACGGCCGAGGCAAGCCCAAGAAAGGCCAGATGAAGCCACGGAAGGTCCGAAGAGTGGCAGAAACCAACATAAACGTAGTTCGATCCCAACGAGGCGTCTTCTTTTACCCACAGCAACTCGAAGCAGCTCTGAGCCATCCAAAACAACGTGATGCAACGCATTGCTTGGCGTTACTTGGTATTGCTTGGTGTCGCTCGGCATTGCTTTGCAGTGCGTTGCATTGATTGGCGTTGCTTGACTTGCTTGGCATCGTTGCTTGGCATCGTTGTTTGGCTTTGTTTGGCAATGCGTTGCATTTGTTAGCGTTGCTTGGCGTTGCAAAGCATTGCTTGGCACTGCAAGGCTTTGCTTGGAATCGTCGCTGTGCATTGCTTGGAATCGTTGCTTGGCGTTTCTGGGCATTGCTCAGCGTTGCTTGACATTGCTTGGCATTGATTGGCGTGTTCTTGGCAAGGCAAAGCACTGCTTGATTTGCATTTCTTGGCCTTGCCGAGCAACCTGAATAATCGGGCAACCGGGCAGCTGGGCAACCCCGAGCAATTTTGTGGAACGCTGGACAACCAGGCAACGGGGCAGCCCGAGGAACGCTAGTCGCCACATCTGTGTTGGGGCCCGCACCCCCCAGCTTCTACCACGAAAAACAAGTAAGGGCCCGTTAGACAAAAGCCTAGCTGGGGCACAAAACCCCAAGATGGACCGACAGAGCCCCACGAAAGCCCCAAGATGGAGGAGGCCGTGGAGAGGGAGCACGCGGAGGGGGCAGAGGGGGGCGAGGAGGAGAAGGAGGATGCAGGGGAGAAGGAGGAAGAAGAGGGGAGGAGGATTGCGGGCTGGGGAAGAAGCGGATGGAGAAGCGTGACGAGAACGAGGACAGTGGAACAAGAAGGATGACAGGGGGAGTATTGCGGGCGAGGGGGAGGATTGCGGGCGAGGGGGAGGATTGCGGGCGAGCGGGAGGATTGCGGGCGAGGGGGAGGATTGCGGGCGAGGGGGGGGAAGAGGGGAAGCAAGCATAGCGGCCTCGAGGCCTCCCCAGATGGGGTCCGAGCCGATGGGGTCAGAGCATCGCGCCGCATCGTCGACGCGTCGGCGACTCGGCGTGGAGAAAGTCGGGCTCCAGATACATCGAGCCGCATCGCCGATGCATCGGCGATGCACCGCGATCCTCCGACCCCATCCACTCGGACCCCGTGAGGGAGGCGCAGGATTAGATCGGGCGTGTCCTCCTACAGGCGGCTTTTGGACGAATGGTGAAAAATAGCCACACACACACACACACTTTCGATCCGCGGGTCGAGAGCGCACCTCTTCCGGTCGAAGCTAAGCGGGCCGCGCACAGCTTGAATTAGTTAACGAGAGAGGGGCAGAAGGAGGGGCCTCACATCAAGGCCAGGAGGGGGCAAAGCCCCGGAATCAGGCGGTGCCGAGGACGATGTGCATGCAAAGGAACGCCTTGGACAGGAACCCGGCGGCGAAGTACCGGAAGAAGCAACATGCTGTGGTGGTGGTGCCGTCAACGGCGCGCCGTATAGCCACACACACACACAAATATTCCCAAATCGCCCCCAGGCTATTTTTTTACTATGTTTGAACATTCGTCCCTGTAGAGGGACGGGCCCGCCCTAAGCCCGGGAAGCAGGAGCACGGGAGGACAGCGGGGGCGTCCGAGGCGCAGCGCGGGCCGCGAGCACCCGGCGGCAGACCTCCGAGGCTCCGCCGGCCGGCTCACTTCTTGGACTTGGAGGCCTTCAGCATGGCCGCCTCCTTCTCCTCCTGCAGCTCCTCGCGGGAGGCAGCTACTGGGAGGTCCTTCGTCGAAAGGATTCAGGGAGGATGCAGCCCCGTTGGAGGGCTCTGTTGCGCCGGAGTGGGCCTCGGGCGAAGCGGGATCAAGCCCGATGAGGCGGGATCAAGCCGGATTAGGCGGGATTGCGCGAGACTCGCCGGATTAAGCGGGATTAAGCCAGATAAAGCCGGATCTCGGACCAGGGCAGAATCTGAATTTGACCTCCCAGCAGTGGCATCCGAACTCCTTGAGGCGCTGGTCCCGGGCCGCGGACTTCTTCTCCTCGATCTTCTTCTGCGCCTCCTTCTGGGCGGCCAGGCGCTCCTCCTTCTCCTCCGCGGTGCACTTCATGCCGCGCTTGGCGTAGGCCTGGTTGCGGACGAACTTGCAGTTCATGCCCTGCATCGACATCTTCCTCGGGCGCCGCGTCTTCTTGATGCCATTCCGGTGGTTCTTGTAGACCTGGTTGTGGCCCGTGTGGTTCTTGGACTTGGCCATCGGCCCAGAGGACAGCGGCGGTGGCCCCGAGCGCAGCAGCCTGAGCCAGAGTGGCTACGGAGAGGCCGAAGACGCGGACGAGAAGGGCAGAATGGAGCAGAACTGCCCGTGGAGGCCCACGGAGCCAAGGAGCGGACGAGGAGGAGGACGGGGAGGATCGGGAGGAGCAGCAGGAGAGACGAGACTGAAGGGGCCCCAGGGCACACAAACAAATACACACGAATAGCAGGATCCCCCATATTTTCCCTATACTTTCTGGGTTTTTGTCTTCCCCCCTCTTCCCATCTTTTCCCATATTTTCTGAGGGATCGACGTCTAATTGTGTCTGCGTGCCTTTTTCCCTCCTGAGAGGCGGGGGAGAAGCGACCGCGCACGACGCCGGTGGCAGGCTCCAGCTTCGCCGCCCATGGGCAGGACAAATTCAAAGGCGGAAGGACCTGTCCGGCCACGCCCACCACGACGAGGCGCCCAGAGTATCCGCCTCCGGACCTCGCTGCGAGATGCCCCCCGAACAGATCTGCAGACCTGCACGCTATTTTTTTCGAGGGAGAGGAGGAAAGAAAGCGACCACATAACGTCACCTGACTCGGCCTCGACCGCTGTGCGAATCAAAAGGTCGCCAGGCAAACCGGGAACACAACAAGAGCGGACCTGCATTTCTCAAACCCATGCAATGAACCGCGGCCTGAAAGAGGAACGAGCGTGCGGCATGCGTGAAGAAGGGACAGCCCTGCACGAAGTCATTGGCCGAAGCAGCAGATTCGGCGCAAGTCTCTGGTGGCGCGTGGCGCAGATGCCTCCCCGCGCCCCCCGCCCACCCACTCTTAGGTCGGGCATGTCCTCCTGCAGACGGATTTTGGAATAAAAATGAAAGATGGTCAAAAAATGCTCCAACATGGTCAACCCTAGTCGGGAAACCGTCCCCAGACTACGTTTACCTACAGTCGGACTTGATTGGACAGGACACGCGAGAGGATACCAGACCCCTCCGAGGCCCACATCGCCATAGGAATGTAGGAGGCATGGGCCGAGAGACACAGGACACAAGGGTACCCTTGCTTTGGCAGGATCGACCTATCGGCTACACGCAAGAGTGACCCTGGGTAAGAGTGACCTTTGGTGCGCGGCTTTTCGGGGGCCGCGGGGGACCAAACCTGGGCGCGCAAGCCGCTGCTCCCGCTTCGTTTTCAGCCATCTGGGGGCCCATCGGTGCCCGCACCAAAGGTCACTCCGGCGAGAGGTCACTCTTACGTCCAATCGAGACCTACTCATCAATGCCGACTGCATCTGGGAGCACTCCTCCCTATAGTAGGGATCCCACAAAGGACGTACGCGTCCAGCTATGTGCATGAACACGGCCCCTCGATTCGCGAGACCGGCCGCGTTATACGAACATTTGTGCAATGCGTGCTCTCGAAACCAGCGTGGATTCATGTACGTGTACGTCCTTCTGTCGCTCCTGATATAGAGAAGGGGCGTGCCCGCCTCGAGCCTGCCCTGGCGAGACGAGGCGCCACGGCCGCCGACGCTGCGCACAAGGCGCCGCGCGGCCCTCGCGCGCCCGGCCCCCCCGGGGAGGGCCCGCGGAGGGGCCCCCCGCGGGGGGCTGCCGAGGGCAGCCCCGGGACGGTCCGGGGGCGGCCCAGCTAGGAAGGCACCCACTATACACCAACACCGATCCTGGCCCACGATCGGTGTATACGCCCTCCTGCCTTGCGCAAGAAGGCATGTACACCGATCCTGGGCCCAGGGTGATCCTGGGCCAGGATCGGTGTTGGTGTATAGCTGGTGCCCTCCGAAGCGTGAACGGGGGGGATGGCAAAGGGGCGGCCCAGCGTCCCTGACCTTCCAGAGAGCTATTTTCTAGCACGGGAAGCCTAAAAGCCTAAAAGACGGAGCGAAACAGCTTAGAACCAAGACGTAGAATAGCTTTGGGATCGGTTTTTAGGTCGGGTGCTATTTTTTAGCCCTCCCGGAAGGTCAGGGGTGAAAGGGGGGATGGCAAAAGGGGGGGGGGTGAGAATCAGCTCGCGTGGCTGATTTTCCCGGCGCCGGAGGCGGCTGATGTATCGAGGAGTGGGCCCCTCGGTGAAGCCGAAGCCAGCTGCATGCAGCAGATTTCGCAACCCCCCCTTTCCCAAATCCCCCCCTTTCGTCCGGCCCGACAAGGTCGGCCCAGCGTGAAAGTCGGGCCTGTCCTCTAGAGGAAGAGTGTTGAAAAACAGTCCGAAAATCATCCGGGGACGACTTTGTTGCTGCTCTGCGCATGTTGGAGCATCTGTGGGGTATGCTTGGTTTTTGTTCGTCCAAACTCCGCCAATAGGGGGACATGCCTGACCTCAGCCCAGTGTGCACCCGCGAGGGCGTAGTGGCGGCCAGAAGAGATCCAAGAAGGATATCCAAGAGGGCTTCATGACGGCACCGCGCGCTCCAAGAGGAACAGAAGGGGGCCCCAGGACGGTGAGGACTGTCAGAAGCACTCCCTTTTCGGCTCCCAAGAGTTGTCGCGTCAGCATGGCTCATCGACGGCCTGTGGAGAAGCCCAGGGGAGCCCCAAGAGGGGGCCAAGAAGGCCCGAGACGGCCACGAGAAGGCCCCAAGACGCCAGAGGGGCCCAGGACCCCAAAGAGAACCGCGAACAGCCCAAGAGGGCTTCCAAAGGGCTCCAAGGCAGGCTCAAGGGGGCCCCAAGAGGCCGATCGAGACCCGAGCCAGCCCAAGAGAGGCTCAAGACGACTCAAGGGAGCCGGGAAAGAGATCGCAAGATAGCCCAACAGGGCCCCAAGGACTGCCCGAAGGGGACCGAGGCGAGCCCCAAGAAGGAGAGGAGAGGAGGGAAGCAGGGGAAGAGGATGCGGAGAGGGAAGGAGGAGGAAGAGGAAGACGAGGAGGAGGAGAAGGAGGGAAGGCGGAGAAGGAGGAGGAGGAGGAGGAGGAAGGGAAGGGAATAGGGGGGGGGACACAGGAGTACAGAGAAGGAAGGAGGAAGGAGCAGGAGGAGGAGGAGAGGAGGGAGGAAGGAGGAGGGAGAAGCCGAGGACGCGGACGGGGACGAGGGAACGAGGGCGGTGCGGACGAGGACGGGGGGGACGGGGAAGAGCAGCAGGAGAGGGGAGGAGAGGAGGAGGAGGAGGAGGAGGAGGAGGAGGAGGGAGGAGAGGAGGAGGAGGAGGAGGAGGAGAGGAGGAGAGGAGGAGGGGAGGAGGAGGAGGAGGAGGAGGAGGAGGAGAGGGTCAGAGAGCAGGGCGGGGGCGAGGAGGCTGGCGAGGACGGGGACGAAGGCGAGGGAACGAGGGAGAGCGAGGAGGCCGCGCGGGAGCGGCGGCAGAGGAGACAGAGAGAGCGGGACAGCGGGACGGCGGCCGGTCCCCGGGGAGGACGGAGCCGCAGAAGCCAGGCCACAGCGGGGTCGGATCTCGATGGACACGCGAGGGCATACTACAGGCCTCGGAAAAAAATGGCGAACACTCATGCCACATTCATCTGTGAACGCCTCCCCCTCCCCCAAATGTTCAAAGTTGGCGGTGGGTCTGATGAGTTGCACCTCGACCGCAGTCTCCCCCCCGCGTGCCAACTTTGAGTTTGGGGGGCAGGGGGGGTGTTCACGAATTGTTTCCCTCTACCGTAGCACTACATGTCCTCCTTGGAAGCGTGCGTCCCACCCGAGCATCTTGCACAAACTTGTTATATATACATGTATGTATATATACATGTGTATATATAGATCGTTCCCAGAGCGGGGCAGCAGCCGGGCCCCAGCCAGGATGGAGCCGCAGAAGCCAGGCCACGCCGGCTCGGATCTCGTGGGACACGCGAGGACAGACCACAACCCTCGACAAACAAGTAACCCCAAAAGTGTCTTACGTGGCTGAGCTGTTTGTGGGGAGATGTTGGACAGAGTAGCGATGACTGCGAGGTGCTTGTATGCGCCGCTCCTCCAATGTCGGTCATCATCGCAATTCCGAGTCGTTCCTGGTCAGACGACCACCTTTGCCCTGGCCCAGACATTGGAGGGGCGTCGTATCGACATTGAAGGTCGCGCCGACATCGCAGGGGCGTGGTCGCCATTTTTGAGGTTAATTTTGACGAGGGTAGTAGTACTATATGTCCTCCTTGGAGTCGTGCGTCCGAGCCGAACATCTTGCACCCACGTGTAATAAATACATCGTTCCCCGAGCGGTATGGCCAGAAAGCGCCCGCTGAGGTGCGTACACTATAAGATCTATCGGTGCGCGCGTCGCCCAGGGAGGGGGAACGGGGGGGGGGGGGGGGCGACGCACGCGTATAGTGCGGGCGCGGCCGCAGGAAACCCTCGCAAGAAACCCAACCCTGAGAACCCGTGCGCGAGGTGGAAACCCAGAGCACCCTGAACGCAGCAGCTCATTCAGCGGCTGCGGGAAGTCACCGCGCAGCGCGAGGAGCGAAGAAACCCAGGATACCCTGACGAAAAGCATCTGGTTTCTTGATGCGCGCCCCCACTGTAATACCAGCATGTTGGGGTGACGCCGGTCTCGGAAACAGACCGCCGGATCGGCTGCGAGACGCCTGGCACGGAGCCGAAGCCGGGCCGTCGCGCCCGGCTCCGTGCTGGCCCTGGCCGACGCCGGTGCAGCGAAGCGAACCGACTCGAAGCTTCGGTGGCGCCTCACGGGGGCCTCCCATACCATCGTGCTGGCCCAGGCGAGTCGACGCTCGCCGACGCGAAGCGACACCAGTCGACGCGAATCGGCACCAAAGCGACGCCAAATCGACGCTACATCGGCGCTACCTCTGCGCTCGCTCAGCGGCTGCCAGACGCTAGCGCGCGGGCCTGCACCATAGCGAAGAGCAGGGATCACGGCGGCATTCAAGGCTCCACTGATTTGCTACCGAACCGAACCGGATCGGAACCGCGGCGCAGGCCGGCGAGTCGAAACGTCTCGGACGAGACCGCGGGCGGCCCTGGTGCGGAGGAGGGGCGGGCAGCTGTGGGCGACACCGGTCGCGGGCGGCAACCTCGCTCAGGAAGTCTGGCGCCCGCAGGCTGGGCAGGGCCCGAGACTTAGGTCGGGCATGTCCCCCTACAGGCCGATTTTCGACGGAAAAACAAATACCCCAAAATACTCAAAGTAGCGAAAAATACTAGACAGATCGTCCCCAGACTATTTTGTTTGACTACTTTTAGATATTCCTCCTGTAGAGGGACAAGCCCGAGTTAACCCAAAGACCTCCAGACACGACTCGAAAGTGTCGGGTCCAAGGTTTAGGGCGGGAGCTTCGGACAGCGCTTCGCCGCGGCGGCACCGGCGGCACGCTGTGCCCTTCGAGCGGACAGCGTGTCGCTCCGCTCTGCGTTGCAGGAAGCCGGAGGAGCTCGGGACGTCGGCGCCTGGAGAACCGGAAAACGGATAGCGTGCAGCGTCGAAGCGTGGTGGGCCAGGAGCGGCGGAGCGAGGCGCTGTCCAAAATGCCCCGAAGGTACTCTCTGGACGTTTTCGGGCCCTCGGCTCTCTGGCGGCCGCTCGGGACGATCCGGGCACCCCCAGAACGCTCTCGACGAGGCGCAGCTGATGGAGAGCGTCCCGAGGTTGGAAAGCCGCCGAGAACCAACGAGAACGTCCGAAAACAACCTCGAATCTCGAGCTGGCGGAGCGACTCGCTATCCCAAAGTTCCCGTCGGGCGGGAGGGTAACGGTAACGGCGGCCGCGGGTGCACCCGCCAGGGTACGTGCGCGCCACTGGCGCATCAATCGCCTGTGTGCACCAAAGCATGTAGGGGGTGGTCCAGGCCCCCCCCAGTAAGATCGTTAGCGTAATCCCGGAAGGCGGGGTTTGGCCCCAGTGCCGTGCATGGACGTTATATTCGAACCCTGTGGTCCAAGATGCCCCCCAGACCCCCGAAATTAATATTGATGGCGCGACGACGGGGGGGGCGTGAGTGGACAGAAATATTCGAACCCCAAAGTACCGCCTTTACTGAGATCAACATTGATGTCGGGGGCGTGGGGTTGATTTAGAAGAATCTCCCTAGAATGTGTAAGGGTCCGAATAGATTGTCCATCTACTGTGTCGAACGTTACCCTGAGAAGGAAAATAACACGCTCACCGACCGTTGGGGGGGGGGGAGGGCACGTTTGGCCCCTCCCAGCCCTCTGAGCAGCCCCGCCCCTTCCCGCTTCCCCCGGGCGCGCCGCGGAGTCCGGGCCCCCCCCCCCCTGCGAAGCGGGGCGTGACGCCGACGGCCTCGGGGTCGCACGAGACCGCTGCGCTCGCGGGGAGGGGCTGCTGCCCAGACGCAGAAGACGCCACCGGCCGAGGCCCTCGGGGGCGCTCCTGGTCGGTGCCGAGGGATCGATCGGGAGGAGAGGCGGGAGGAGGAAGAGAAGGAGCGGGCCTCGCTGGCTTCGCAAGCAGCCACGCTGATGTCCGAAAGGTTATCTCCGTGCTGAGCTCCAGCCCAGTTGCCAAGTGGAATGGAGTTATCGTAGCTCGACGCGACGAACCACGTGTCACCATTCCCCTCGAGGTTGTCCAGATACCAGTTGGATGGATCATCGGCAAATGTCTCGAGTATGGCCGAACTGTTTTCGTGCTTGTAGACGCTCGTAGAAGCATCGTCCCGATAGTATCTTCCGTTCGCGGGTCCGTAGCCACTGACCATAACGCACGTGACGCCCACAGCCTGGCCACACGGACAGAGACATGAGGGAGAAGAAGAGGACAGCGAGAGCAGAGGAGGAACCGGGAGGAACAGAAGAGAAACTGGAAGTGAAGGACAAGGAGGAAGCGAGAGGACGAGGGGGGAGAGAGAGAGAGAGAGAAAGAGAGAGAGAGAGAGGAGACAGACGCAGACATCCAGCGTCTCGATTCTTTCGAGACACGGCCCCCCTGACCTTGGGTGGGGCATGTCCTCCTACAGGCGGATTCGGTACGAAAAATAAACCATTGTCAAACAACCCAACAATGGTCCAACAATAATCACACAAAAAAAGCGTTCCGAGGCAGATTGTTGAACATTCCTCCTGTAGAGGGACAGGCCCGACTTAACCCTGACCTATCGACCACTTCCCTGGGGCCGGTTGTTTGTCGCGAGCCGTTGCTTGACGGTCCTGGGGCCAGGCGGGGGGCCCCAGGGGGCCCAGGCCCAGCAAAAACCTCCGCATCGAACAGTTCAACTCGTCGGACGTCTGGGGAGGAGGAGGAGGAGGAGGAGGAGGAGGAGGAGGAGGAAGAGGAAGAGGAAGAGGAGGAGGAGGAGGAGGAGGAGGAGGAGGAGGAGGCGGAGGAGGAGGAGGAGGAGGAGGAGGAGGGAGGAGGAGGAGGAGGAGGGGGAGGAGGGGGGGGGGAGGGGGAGGAGGAGGGGGGGAGGAGGGCGGAGGAGGAGGGGAGGAGGCAGAGGAGGAGGGGGAGGAGCAGGGGGAGGAGGAGTGGGAGGGGGAAACAGGGGAGACATACGAGACGCAAGACGATGAGGAGAGGCGAGGGCACCAGCGAGGAGCACGGGCGCAGGCCCCGAAGCCCACGCGAGAGGCCCGCGGCCCGGGCGGGGAGGGGGGCTCCCGAGGGCGCCCGCCACTCTGGAACGGAGAGGCGGGCCTGCCGCGGCTCCGTGGGCCCAATACGGCGACCCCAACGGGAGGGGGCGGTCGTCAACCGCATCGGCCGAGCCCGTCCGCCGTCCCCGACCACCCCCTCCCTCTGCTCCTGCTCCTCCTCCTCCTCCTCCTCCCCTCCTCCTCCTCCTCCTCCCCCTCCTCCTCCGCCTTCTCCTCCTCCTCCTTCCTGCTCTGCTCCTCCCCTCCTCCTCCTCCTCCTCCTCCTCCTCCTCCTCCTCCTCCTGCTCCTCCTGTTCCTCCTGCTCCTCCTGCTCCTGCTCCTGCTCGTGCTCCTGCTCCTGCTCCGCTCCTCCTCCTCCCTCCTCCTCCTCCTCCCCTCCTCCTCCTTCCTCCTCCTCCTGCTCCTCCTGTTCCCTCCTGCTCCTCCTCCTGCTCCTGCTCCTGCGCCTGCTCCTGCTCCTCCTCCTCTCCTCCTCCTCCTCCTCCTCCTCCCTCCTCCTCCTCCTCCTCCTCCCCTCCTCCCCTCCTCCTCCTCCTCCTGTCTCTCCTGCTCCTCCCTCCTCCTCCTCCTCCTCCTCCTCTCCTCCTCCTCTCCTCTCCTCCTCCTCCTCCTCCTCATCCTTCCCTCCTCCTCCTCCTCCTCCCCCCCTCCCACTCTCCCCCCTCCCATCTCCCCCCCCCCCGCTCCCCCCCTTTGGACCAGGGGGTTGACCCCCCCCCCCTCTTCGCCGCGTTGCCCCGAAGGGTATGGGGGGTCCAGAACTGTGCCCCTGCCATGCCGCCGAAACTCTGATACACAAACTATTCCTGACCCGAACACCCAGCCACTTGCACTGACCCTAAGCGTAGCACAAAGCCACCCTAGCCCAACCACCCTAACCCAACACGTCTAACTTTAGACTGGCGCCCTCGCCTTGACCCTACCACCACACACCTTACATTGACCCTACCACCCTGACCCTAACACCCGAGTTAACCATGAGGACTGCCCTCAACCGAGACGTCCTGATCCGAACCCTCATACCATAATCATGTCAGCATAGCATTAACAACCTAAACCTAGCACCCTCACCCTAAACCACGAGCCCTCATCCGAGCATCATAACACTAACACGTTCACAACCCTATCACCCTAACCCCAACCCTAACACCCAAAACTTAACACCCGAAACATACCCGTAATCCTGGTACACTAACCCTGGCGCACAGTACATGACCATATCAACATAGGCCGAGTCAGTAACCTAGCCCGAACACCCTGAATATCACACCATACTACGACCACCCTGCCCATAAGCCGGGCACCCGAACCCGAACATCCTGACCCTGCACTCCACCCCGCCCCACGCAATCATTCTAACACTATCACCGTAACCCTAACCCGTACGCCCTAACCCTACCACCCTAACCCAACCACGCTAACCCTCACACCCTAACCCGACCCAGTCCACCCTGACCCGAACACTCTCACACGCTAACACGTATACCCTAGCGTTAAGCACTGGCCCTCAGGGGGGGGGAGTGTCGGGGGGTGTCAGCCCAGCACCCTAGCCCTGGCACCCTACCCCTGAGCCTGCCCATCTAACCCTCACCCTAACCCTTGCAACCCTAACCTTAAGACCCCAAATCCAAACCCTGACATCCTACCACGAACCCTCCGACTTCAACCCTAGCACCCTAACCCTACTCTAACCATAAGCACACACCCGATTCCAAACACCCTCACCCTACAACCCTGACCCTAACACCGTAACCCTACGACCCTAACTCTAACTCCCTAATCATGACATGCTCATCCTACCAACCTTAGCCACATTCACACCACCCTAGCTCAAACGCCTTAATGCTATCACCCTGTCGTACCCCACGCGAACACCAAGCCAGATCGTCCTAGCCCTAGCCCTAACCCTAGCACTTTAAGCCTGACATCCAATACCTGACCATGCAACCCTCAGTTTCGCACCCTAGGCGTACCCCTAGCAAACTAACCTAGCATTCGAAGACTAATCATAACACCCTAACCCTCAGCAGCAATGCCAGAGCTACACCTTGACAATAAGCACCCAAGCACAACCATCGTAATCGAACGCCTGGCACTCTAACCCTAGCATCCTAACCCTAAGTTGCAACCTTCATCATAAAACCATAACCCGAACACCATAGCCCTGACCCTAGAACCCTGTCCCTACCCTACCAACAAGGCCGAACCCTAACACCCTGACCCCAACCATTAAACCCGAATCCCACGACCCATCCTGAACACCCCAACCCTGACGCTCTGAGCACGAACTCTAATCCTAACACCCTAACCCTATCACCCTAATCCTGGCACCATAATCCGAGCACCCTAACACCATCACCCCCCCTCGCACCCTAACGTTATCAACTTTACCCTACCACCATGGCCTTGGCCCCAAGACCCGAAACCTACATTACCCACCAACTGGAACCCTAACACCATAAGCCTACCACACTGACCCGAACACCCTATTCTTAACACCCTGACCCTGATCACGAACTCGAACCCAAACACCCTAACCTATCACCCTAAAACTAGCACCCTGACACGAACAGTCTAAACCTATCACCCTAACTCTCGCACCCTAAACCTACCACCCTAACCCTGACACGCTAACCTTAGCCCTACCTCCCTACACCCTGTGAAATGGAGTGGATGTGAAAGAACATGTCTCCTGCTAAACTAAGAGATGATTCACTGGCGCTCCTTCGGAATCCGTACTGGGGAAGCCTTACTAAGGGATCACTCCCCAAACAGTGTGTGCACTTAGGAGTTCCGCCTTTTGTTCTAAAGGAACTGGGCCTATCTGGCGGTCTGGCGGCTATGTTGCCGCCGTCGCCGTCCCGTCGCCGCCTCGCCGCTGCCTGTCAACTGGGCCTGTCTGGCGGTCAGGCGGCTGTGTTGCCGCCGTCGCCGCCTCGTCGCCGCCCGTCGTCTGGGCCTGTTTGGCGGTCTGGCGGCTATGCTGCCGCCGTCGCCGCCCCGTCGCCACCTCGTTTCCGCCGGTCGACTGGGTCTGCCTGGCGGTCTGGCGGCTATGTTGCCGCCGGCGCCGCCCCGTCGCCCCCTCGTCGCCGCCACATAGGTTGCTCGACACATGTTCTCCTTTCTACAAGAAGAATAGGCTCAACCCCCCCCCCGGAAATCACGGCCCCCCTGGGGTATTGCAGTGTCATATCTAGTCTGCACACTCGTCCATCCGAAATACGAATTCATACTATCCCAGCCAGGCCGGTATCGCCCCCCCATGACCGTCGAATCATACTATGCGCGCACACTTCTCATCGCAAGAAAGCAAATGTCAATAGCAGCCGCCCACCAAAAATATGCACGCGCACTCGCTGATCAACATTATCACATTAAAGAATCCCTTGCAACACAGGGGACGACATGCACGCGCGCGCGTCGTCGCACGCGCATGCCAACATACTTCGGAAACCGTTAGTTTCGTCTCGTAAGGAGGTGAAAACGAGCGCCCCGGAAACATGTTTAAAACACATGGCTTCGCGGCTTCGCACCAACAAATTCAAACAAAGCCTGCGTTCGCGCCCTTCCGAATTCTTAAGAGAATCATCGGTTCTTCAACATGTACATCGACTGCGACAGAACGTTCTTCTCGCGCGCGCATGTCGATATCGTTCGAGCACCCTTGCACGCGCGCAAGAATCCCGTGCAAAAAAATGGCGAAGAGCACGCGCGCGCGTCGTCGCGCGCGCACGCCGAAATCCTAGAACCACATTGGGTTTCGCCCGGATTTCAAGACCGCGTGCCCCGAATACACATGAACAGCACAACGGTTCGCAACATCCGTCTTTTTAATGCGCTCGCAGTCTTGCTACGCTTTCGGCGAACCATCGGCTCTTGAAGATTATTATTACGTTCTGCCAAACGGACCTCTCGCGCCCCATGTCGAAATCATTCGAACGCCTTCGCGCGCGTGCTGGGAGAGGGGGGTGCGGGCCACTCTCGCGCGCCGGCCGCGCCCACATGTCGAACTCCTTACAAAACCTGCATCACCGACGCGAGGACGCCGTCATCGCCGCCGGCGCGGTCAGCACCGACGCCGTCACTGGCCTTGTCGTCGGCGGTGTCACCATCGCCGCCAGC